AGAGAAGTGCTGGCTTATGTTAGCTGCTGCTAGGGTTTAATGGAGTTTGTGGATAAGTTCACAATCAGCTGGTTTTTGTCTCCAAATGTTTTTCTTCTATCTGTAGTCCAGTTTACAACAGCGTCAGTGGTCTTTGGAAGTTAGCATTGTCTTGTCTCTAGAGGTTTGCAAGAATGAAAGTTGAACCAATTTGGGGATTTGAGCTTTCAAAGGTCATAAGGGATGTTTGACTCTCACTGTGTCCAACTGAGTGGAACGAGGAGCTGAACTGAACCTACTGAAATTGGAACCAGAGCTTGGGGAGCTGTGCTGGAGTGTGAAACTCAAGGCTAATCTAAATACCTTAAAAGAGGTATTTCAGTTAAATATAGACAAAGTCTTAACTTGTAGTTTTAAGTACTTCAAGCTGAAACAAGCAGTCCTGCTTTCCTGAGCCCCAGGATGAGCCTGATTCATCCTTTCTCTTGGACTCTGGATGAGGATTTGAGCTGTATGATGAGCTGGATGGGCAACACAGGCAATAAAACCACTGAATCTCTATCTCCCATCCCCAGACTGGTATACAACACACCCTGATGTACATACAAATCTATGGGCTCACTTTCAGGAACCTGAGCAGCTTCCTTGTTGAAAAGTACTCTTTCCCACAGAGTTTTTTGAATGTATGGAATCATCATTTTCCCAGAGAAGTCTCTAGAGTGTGGAGAGACAAAAAAAAGTCCTTTTCAGGTCTACTCATCAGTCAGGGGCCTGATGGTCTATGTGAGGTGGCCAGAAATGACCATAAGATCATTTTTCATTTCTGTGCCTTAAATTCACTGCATGCCAAATTGTGCAAGCTGCCAATGGCACTGAGAAGCTGAAACATCACTTGAAATCTTCACAGAGTAAAATTATGTTGGCTATGCTATATAAATATATATATATGTGTATATTTCTAGTCATGTCTCCAAGCTGACATCTGAGAGGAAATTTGTATGGGAAGGTATATATTAGCTCTGCTCTGAGAGACCACCATCCTTTGTGCTGAATGCTGGCATGCAGGACGATGTGTTCAGCGTTATGGATGAAATTTGCCAGATCCTCAAATGCTTTTGCTCATGAGCACATTTGAAAATCAGAGAAGGTGATGACCCTTTTAAAATAAAAATGGAATTGCTGGCAAGAAGGGAAGGTACAACTCTGTGTTCTTAACATTTAAAGATGGTTATAAAATGTGTATTGGCTGGTTTTATAATTTATAGTGAAACTGCTGTTGCTTTTAATAAAGTGAGTCTTCCAGTCAGAATTTCATGATTATGAATGTGAACATTTTGTTATTCAGCTTGGATTTATTCTACAAATAACCATTTTCTAGCAGAACTGTGGCTATGTACATAACTTAATGGGATTCTCTGTCACACATAATTCTTTCTGAAGTTACAGTGTTGGACTTGTGGTTGAATACTTCAGGTCCTTGAATGTGGCTCAAGAACTGTGTTAGTGGTAACTTTCATGAATTTTAATTTAATTTTTCCTTAATTCTGAGACTTTTAAAACTTCCTGTAATTCATTATTAGATTTACCGTTTCAAGTGCTTATTTAAAAGGCACCTTAGCTGCAGAAGCAAATCAATATTTACAGTGCATTAGTGCCACAGAGTATTTGAAGCCTTGTGATTAGAGTTCATTGCTGTTTTATCCACTCTTCAAAGAAACCACAGACTTCAAACGGTATCAGCCATCATCCTGGAATCAGTGACATTGCATCGGTCCCATGCGTACTTCATCTTGTGGTTTAATTATTAAGTTCCCTTACTTTGATTTTCCTTTTAATATTTCAAAGTATATCCTCTTCAAATCTATAAATTCAAGTAAACCAGAAGATTGTAACCAACAATGTATTGCTAGAAAAATCTGTTCAATATATTCTTTTATGTTATTTTAATGGAGAGTATCAAAACTGAATTAGAATGGTCTCTCAGAAGAGAGTTGGGGAGAGGAATGCAGGAGATTATATTTACAATTTGTGGTTAACATAGCATGAATAAAATTTAATTCTTGGGTTAATACCTGGAGTGGTATTGACCATTGCTAAGCAGTATACACCAGAGCTAGCTCTATGTGCTTGTCCCATTCCGGGGGGGGTGGGAGGGTAATAAAAAAATTACCATGTGTTTAAATTTCTGGTTTAACTGGGAAATACATAGATCCAACACACCTGAATTATTGTCTTTTATAATTCACTTTATTGTGAAGTTTGGTTAGTAATACAAATCACGTTTCCTTATGTATGGAACCATTTTCATAAGGAGAGACTAGAGCTGATCACGTTGTATCTTTATGTGGACAGAATACCTTTTTTTTTTTTTTTTTAAAGATTTGGAGAAGTGTTCAAGAAATGTCTGAAAATATCTCAATAACTAACCTTACTAAAATGAAATGGGTCATATTAAAGGTGGCTCATCAGTGAATAGATTTTGTAGAGAGGTTCTCATGTCAATGTTTCCTCTGGAGCATCTTAATATTTGGGAATTCTGTTGCATAATTCCTGTACTGTGAAAAGTCTCTGCTACTTGCCATGGTGCAAACCATCAGGATTTCACTAGAAAGCAAAAAGCAAGATAGTGATAGTTTCTCGCTCCTCTCCAGAACTGATGACTTGCATTCTGGTTTCTTCCTTTATTCTTTGTTGGCAATTTGGCTTCTCTTCTTATAGAACTTCACCCAAATGAACTTTTGTTTTGTCACGCAATTTGAAGAAAAAGTGTAAAAATACAAGAACATTTTGCTATCACTGTGCTTATATATAGATGTATGAGCATAAGGAGCAAGTGAACTCATGTTTGAAAATTGTAATTCTCTGTTGTAGGGTGGGTAGCTAAGGCAAACAGGATAATATGCATGGGCTGCTGCTTGGAACAAATATAGATTGGTATTTTTCTTAAATGGCACTACATACTATAGAGCCACTTTCTTGGTCAGGCTACTCTAATAAATGAAAGTGTATGTTCAGGGCCATGCCAGCAGCACAGGCACCGCTGTTAATGGGTCACTTCATTACGCGTTGTGGGGCCGTTGCTGAGACTGCAGCTGTGCCACCTTTGTTACAGAGATCTCTTGCGATTTGATAGTATGCTTTTATTATGTTTGCCATCTAGGGGGAAATGAGAGGCTTTACCTTCAGCTGCTTCGTGAAACTTGAAGTAGTTGAAGACAAGGCAATCAAAGAAAAACCCTTTATTATGAATTTATGAGTATATACTGAGTAATCAAAATTGAAGTAGCGTTGACTCGGACCATAAATACTTTTCTGCATAATTAAAGTTATCTTTCCTGAAATATTCTTTTAATTACTTCTAGTTCCGTTATACACAAATATATGTGTATATGCATATGTATGTGTATAAATATGTGTACACATATTTATAAAAGAAAACATTTTATTTGCTGGAAATTAACTCTTAGGAATATCTTTGTTAAGAAAATAAAAAAAAAAGAATTTTCAGAGGAAAGAGAAATAGTCCAACAATTGTGGGGAAAAAACCTGAATTAATTCTTTGTTATTCTTGTTGACCAGAATGAACATGAAATAGAGTGACTGGTTTGGTGTTTGGTTGTGTAACACTTGTGCATATCTCAGCAGCACGAGTCCTAGTTGATTAAAAAAAAAAACCTCACATATTTTCTTTGTGTGGTATGACTTACTGTGTTTCTCAGTGTCTTTATAATGCCATGCAAAATAAGATTCTTTATTTTAATATTATTATACATAGCATTAACATAAAGATATTGCAAAGCTTAAGACCAGTCATTTAACAAATTCCTGTCATTGTGTTTTCCTGCTAGTATTGCGAGACATGCACCTTCAGCTTCTTTGGGAACTGTTTCATCAAAGCATTAAGACATAGTCCTGGTTTTCATTCTCAGCTTTTGCCCAGCGTGCCTTTCTGCTGCTTATGTGCCATAGCTTTCACCTTTTCCTTTTCCACCTTGCATTCAAGGTTCCCAGTGCAGCAGTAAAGAGAAATACAACTGATAAATCACGTCCCCTCCGTTCTGACGCTGAGTGGGAGAGTGCTAAGAGGTCGCATATACAGGCAATGAAACTTCTGTTTGGGCAAGAAGACTATAGATGTGTGGATATTTGTTGTAGGATAATAAATGAAATAGGAAAAAATTAAGTTGTATTTCAAGAGAAACTAACTTTATTGTGCCATCAAAGTTTCCAGAATGGATTTGACCTCTACATATATATTAAAAAAACCCCACCCTGTCTCTTTCCAATCAGTCTACCTGCCCACTGCATCGTTTATTACCAATGAAATATTTTTGTCCTGACAGTCATGCCAGCTGGAAGGCTAAGGGAATCAGGGTAAATCAGCACAGATCTTGTTTCAGCTGTCAGGAAGAGGCAAAGGAAGAATACAGAATAGAAAGCAGTGACTTCCATAAGTTTTCAGAAAGAAATGGAGAGTATATTTTAAAAGGTGAGGAGACTGCCTTTTGCTGCAGAGAGGCTGGTGTGCAGCTTCTTGCAAGCATGTTGTGTTGGCAGCGCCCATGCTGCAGTTGTGGCAGTGGGGTAGGAGACACGTCATCCTAGTCCACCCTTTACTTTGTCACCAGGCTGTTGGATTTGGGCCTTTGGCTACTTGCTTTTTAAAATACCTGTAAGTCACCTTAGCCTCTTAGTTGTTCAAGCTTATGCTGGTTTTTTATTTTACACAACTGACAGATAGTAGTGATGCTGTGTTTGTATTTGTAAAGCCAACGAGCTGTGCTAGGTTCAAAGAGTTTGGTTTCACCCTCATTTTCTCCTTGTGTGGCCAAGCGGCAAGGCTGTGGTTTTGAGGAAACAGACCTTGTCCTTGAGGAGCTATGCTGAGGTCAACTACTCCTTACTCTGTGAAACTACATTTGGTCAAAACCAACCATCCAGAGCTTGAAAAAACATTTTTCCTATGTGAAGAACATTTTAAATCTGGGAAGTGTTTATTTACTGTCTGTTTTATTCTTCAGATATGCCTCTTCATGTCCGACGTAGTAGTGACCCTGCACTGATTGGCCTCTCAACCTCTGTAAGTGACACAAATTTTTCTTCAGAAGAGCCTTCACGGAAAAACCCTACAAGGTGGTCCACAACAGCAGGCTTTCTCAAGCAGAACACCCCTGGCATACCGAGTGCTCATGAAAGAAAGGTATATTTCTTTCCCCCTCTTTATCCAATAAATGACAAATGTGCGTGAATCTTGAATTGATGTTTTGTCCTTCTCTTACCCGCTCCTGATTTAAACTTGTGTTTTCTAATGTTGTCCACCAAACCCCATCATCATCAGAGGAGTGTTTGAGTTGCATGCATATCCTGCCCTTCAGAGACTCTTGGTGATGCGCACAGCAGGGGCTCTAAAAAACTTGATTTTTGCTATTAACTGTAGTTGAAGCTCTGATTACTCATTACTTTGCAAAGCAGGGCCTAAATGCTGTCATGCATTTTCTTTGAATGCAAATAGGCCGTGTCTATAGTGATTTTTACTGATCTCCATAGAAGTCCTAATGTCAATGAATAATCTGCATGCCCACAGCTGGTCTGGTCTGTCTTTCTGACACAGCATTGCTAGTTTTTACTTTCTGAGCCATTAGTCAAGTAATACAAAATACAAATTGCAAATGCTGTCATTGACAGATGACAAGCTCATTGATAACATTCTTAAAACTAAAACAGTGAAATGTAGAGTGAATATTTTTTCCTTCATTTTTTCAATATGATTTCAGTATCTCTACATGAATTGCATTATTAGCTAGAGAAGTCAGCAGGAAGCTCTCTTCTCAGTGCATTATTGAAAAAAAAATTGGAAGAAATATTCCTTTTCATGCAGCCCCTGACGTTGCCCATAATTGTGATGGTAACTTGCAGACAAACTCAAAAGGAAGAACATACATAAATTTTCCAATAGAAGTGAGTAATTTTTAAAGAAAGTTGCACTTTCAGTTACCATTCTGACTGCACAGCACAAAATCCTTTTGGAAAATATGCAGCTTATTATTATAGCTATTTTTTTTCTTTGTTATTATTAATTCTGAGTAGTATAAATGCAAACTAAGACCCTGCAGCCAGGGCTCCCACACTCCAAATAAAGAAGTCTTCACATGCTGCTAATGAACTGAACTATCTTCAGTGGGCTTTTGGTTATTTAAAAACATCTATAAAAGCACAGTGCTTATAGGTGTTGAGGTCCACATTCTTACAGAGGTGTCAGTTTAATGTGGTATTGTTAGGTCTCTGCTTGATCGGGATTTCAGGTAGGTGATGGTTTATTTTCTGTCACTTGTACTGGTGTGGCACAGAAGTGCATGTTGTTTTGAAAAATGTCTTTTATACTATTCTGATTTGGAGAAGAAAAATTATAATCTAATACATTTGAAGAGTTAACATTTTAGTTAATTTTTCTGAAATTATAATGAGAACTGCAGTTCATTACTCCACAAGCATAGATATGGAGGGCCATACATAGCATAATCAGATTTCTTTGGGTGTCTGAAGTTAGAAGAAATTGGAGACAATTAAACAGCAGCTAACCTTTCACACTAGTCTTCTTGCATCGTTAGTTGTTCAGCATGTACTTTTAATTTTTGTGAAAATATTTCATGTCTACTGGAGCATGGTGACCAAACTGGAAAGGAATGCATGTGATCTCAGATAGCAATGGTAAGCAAGGTACAAGAGAACATTAAATCAAGAAAGATTGGAAAGAACTAACGTAGGTTAGTTAGTACAGTAGACGCTGATAATTTCTTTTACCTTTTTTGCACACTGTATAAGTTGATCCTTTGAATAGAGCAGATCACTGAGTGCACTATTTTTAATAGATAGGATGCAGTAAACAACTGGAATTTAATAATTGGTTGTGCAATGTGTTAGACTGTTTTTTTTCCTGTTTTCAGCATCTTAATTTCTTCATGTGAGTCAAGATATGTAGTGAGTCCTATTTCTCTTAGGAATGGATAGTAAGAATTCTCCTTTCCTTTCCCAGTATTAGCAACAATTTCATTTGTAGTATTATTCTAAAAGGTGCAGTTTTTAAGTCTCTGTCACCAATCACTTACCAAAGTACTAACACTGAATTTTTACAAATGTATTTTGGTTATTTGAACTATAACAAGTCCTCACTACTTTTCTTATGTTAGGTTGTTTTCTTCAGCTACTCAGATAACAAAAAGAGATGGCTGTGCTTTGTTCCAGACTGTTTCATTGATTATAGATGACACAGACATTTCAAGCAAAGCAATGAGAACAATCTTAATTTTCTGCTCAGTGCATTGGGCTTGAGCACCCATATATCTTTTGTGGGCGGTTGGCACTACGTAATGTTTTCACTGCAGTTCTCTCTCTTGACAGCACAAGAACATATGTTCTTGGGCTGAGATTTGCAGCACAGTTGTAGATTAGCAACTTTGCCCCAGCAGTATCTTGCAGAAACAAGAAAAGCGTTTCTGGGAAAGTTGCCAAAAGCTTCATCCACCTACTGACTCTAAGAAGTGACATTACTTTCAGCCCGTCACCTCTAAAGAGAAATAATTGACAGGTAGAAATCCTGTCCAATTTTTGGAGGAATTAGCAGAGGGAAACTGCATGTATCTGGCAGAAGGGATTTATTTCTCGAGGGCAAGTGAGAGAAGACTCCGTATTGGTGTTTGTTTCGTTTGGGGTAAGAAGAATTTGGAATGACAGGAAAATGGGCAGATGCCCAAGTTGAGATGAAATGAAGGGGTGGGAGCGCTGCCATGCACTGAAGGCTGTGAGAAGCCAGGACATATGCCAGTAGTTCTGGGCAAACAGAAAGGGAAAGGGCACTGGGGAAGAGGAAAAATGTGGGATGTTGAAGGATCCTCTTGAAGAAACTGTAGTGCTACCTGTTGTTATTAGGGTAGATGAAGCAGGACATCAGGCTCTCCTGTGTCCTTAGGGAAAGATGAGAATGACCAGAGAGGGACAGAGTTTGGTTTGGAGGGGCTTGAGTAGGTCCTGCAAAGATTTGAATGTGTGTTGAACTTGAGATGGATTTCTACTACAGTAAGTAGGATGTTTTGGTATAAAACCCTTGCACTAAACTGGATGTGCTCTCTCATCCATTTTTCATATCATCTCTTTATAAAGAAACATATTTTTTGTTAGGATATTATAATACACTCTGTGTTTCCTTAGAATTGGAATCTGGATCGTTTCTGGTTTCTGCGTTGTTCACCTGTAAGAGCAACTTGAAACCGGATGTTCTGTGTCCCAAAGTACTTATGTATTTAAAGAATTATTATTATTGATTATTTACGAGTTAATGTAGTGTTGGTAACTGTACTCAGCTAGGAAATTCCTGATCTCATCCTTCTCTATTTTTCCCATGAGTGGTCTCCACCAAATGATTAGGTCTCCTCATCTGTGCAAGTATTCACAAAATTGGCTCATGATTATCAGCAGCTTTAGTAGGTAAATTCACTTACCTGGATTTTTTTTAAATGGAATATTAAAATCACTTTCAGATACTTTTTTGTGTGTGAGAGACATATCTGTATTACCTAGCGACTCATGGCTTGACTTAATCCTGTCTTTTGCTTCCTTGAGCCATTCTAATGAAACAAGAAGAAATCTTTTAGTAAAAATATCTTCTCAAAGGCCTGCAGTAATACCTGATTTGCAAGCTGTAATTTTGTTTGAATTGTGTTGAACTGTATGGCTGAACAGATTGTATGCAGCTGAAGCATATCATGTGTACTTTTTTCCACTGCAGCAAAATGTTTTTTGATATTGTTGTTTTCTGAAAAACTGTTAATTTGAATCACATTCTTAATAATTCGGTACCAAAGCCTATTGGCTTAACTACCTGCCCTTCATAGATGTGAGCTGCATTAATGAAAGTCATGTTTCTTTTCCCTTAGATGTTTGTGTTAATGTATTGGAAGAATATAAATGCAACAACCAGATATGTTGCATCTTATAACAACTGTGAATTAATTATCCCATATATTTTCAGTATGGTTTTTAAAATTTGCATCTCCATTTGTGGTAAGGAATTGCATATCATTACAAATTAGTTATCTGTTTTGATCCTGCTTCTCTGAAAGGCACAAGGCTTATCTATTTAACCTGCCTTGCTTAATGCAGGGGTATACCATGGCTAACTGGCTTATGAAAAATTTCCCACTGTGACTTTTCTGAATTTGATTCATATATTGTTGCGTCAGAGATAACAGCATTGGTACAGCAGAAAGAAGTGAGAAGGAGAGCTCAAGAGAGAGCAATGAGAGAGAAAAATGATTGTGCATGGGCTTCTGTGCCTCTCTCGCTCCTGGGTTCACCCACCTGGAGCAAAGCAAATGGCATGCAACGTGCTCTGCGGGGTGGATCAGCAACAGCAAACATGTAGCTGAGTGTAGTTGGCACATAATTTTTTTTTTTCTTCCTTTTTTTCCCTTTGCCATTTACTCAGCAGCCAGGTTTTTTTGCTTGTTTGTTTTTAAATGGGTTTGCCCATATATGTATTTTGAGGTTGAAAATAGCCATGCCTTGTAGGATCAATTATTTTTAGGATGTGCTTTCTTCCTACTTGGAAACCTAATCTTTTGGGGCTCTGTAAACTGCAGAGGAAGAATTTGAAACTGTATGGGAGTGATCTAAGTCTAATCTAGTGTCAAATCCATTACCTGTAAAGCATTGTGTTTCATCTCTTCTTGCAGCTATTTTTGCTGTTCCTATGGGTTGACACTGATGAGTACAAATTTTCAGACTGTTGGATTGTAGGTTTTTTATTTATGTGAAAGACGCAATGCTTTCTAATCCTTTGTAAACAATAAAAAAAAATATTTCTCTAATGAAGTATGTCTAGATAGGAGAAAAGCATGCATGCATTATACGAAAAGCTTCAACACTAATGGTATGTCAGTGTCAAAATCGGATTTAAAGTGAAAATCAGTTTCATTTAGCTTTGCGTCTTTTTAAACACAGCTTAGTGAAGTTTGCTTTATCACTGTCACCAAAGACATGGTACTTCAACAGATTTTAACTATAATGCAGAGGACTGAAGAGCCCTGTATTAGAACTGTGTGTGTTAGTGTCATTTTATAGCCAGGGAGTGTGAATTGCAGAGTGTAAATTGATTAAATTGACTAGGGAAGACTGTGGGCTAAAAGACTGGGCATCATTCTGGGA